AGCAATTGTTGGTGAAGAAGGAAGACGCAGTAGTGGAGGCCGGTAGGTAGATACATGAGTGGTGGCAGCATCTGCCAAGTGTCGTCTTTGCAGCCTTGAATGTTGCTTGTGCGGTGGTTGATGCGAAGACGGCACATGAAGTGAGCATGTATGGGGAGGTATCTAAGTGTGTGTACAGAATTTCGCTGACACAAGCTGCAATATTACAAAGAGGTTGATGTGAATGATTGTTCGAAGAAGGCGGTGAGTTGTTAGGTAGTTGTTGTGCAGTGTGGCGTGGAGGTAGTGGCAGGTAACTATTGATGCTAGTGCCCACGAGAAAGGGGAATGGTGTTGACTGTGAGTGCACTGTTGTGCGTGGATAGACAACGTGAGGAAAGTGTTAGTTACATGGATGCATGTTTGCGTGGTATTAATGTTAGACGTGGAAATGCGTGACGGTGAGAGCTGTGACAATGACACTGTGTGTTTATCTTATTACAGGACGTGCTGCAAAGTTAAATTGCCCATCCAGCGACCATCATGAGGCTGCAAGGCGTACGAACGAACTTGTGCGCAAAATGGAGGTGGCACTGGAGCACAATGACGTGAGTTGTCATGTAGTGTGTTTGCTGCTGTTTTGCTGTTGTTGTTGTTGTTGTTGTTGTTGACGATGATGCTCATGTAAGACGTAAGTGACTATCATTAATGGGGTAGCAAGAACGCAGGTGTGGTTGACATGGCGATGCGAGCACACGACAAGTCGGTGGCGGTTTTGTGGTACCACAGGTCACACAGACATGGCATTTCACAGCAACGCAGAGAGGCGAGTTCGTTGAGATGGAAGACCACATGCATGGGTAACTAGTGTGCGTGTGCGTGTATGTTCATATTGTAGAGCAATGTCATTCCGAAATTTGTGCTTAATGACCTGCGGTTGATTGAGCGGCTGCTGAGCGACGAGCCACATGCTTCAACTGTACAATCCAACGTGGCACCATCGTCAAAAAAGCAGCGCCGAGGCAGACGAGGGTTTAATCGTGGTAGGTGTTTAACGTGAATGTCCATTTCTCATGTTGCCTGACATGGTTGCTTGTGTGCGTAGCAAATCGTGCAGTGATGATGATGATGGTGAAGATCGTAAAAGGAAGGGATTTTGTGACGACTAGCAAGCACGACACGCCCGCATGTCATTGGGTCCGTAGCGCTGTGTCTGGTTTTCATGGAGGTTGCAACTAGCCAATGGTAGATGTATGAGAAGGATAAAGTGGAGTCGAGACGAGATAAGGCAAGAGGGAAATGGTGCGTTCAATATAAAGACGTGGCATATTGTCACTGGGAATGTTGTTGTTGTTGTTGTTGGCGTTAAGTGGGAGTAGTAT